CCTCTGTTTTTTTGTTTTTTTTTTTTGTTTGTTTGTTTGGTTGGTTGGTTTTTTTGCCAATACCTTGCTGTTTCTATCACAGTAGCTCTGTAATATACTTTCAAGTCAGGGATTGTGATGCCCCCCTTCCTTGCCTTTGTTGCCTAGAATTGCTTTTGCTATTCTAGGTCTCTTCTGGTTCCAAATGAATTTTAGGGTTGATTTCTCTGATTATGTGAGGCATGCTGTTGGAATTTTATTATGTCTTATATTTAGATGTCCTCCCTAAAGCCTCTTGCAAATGAGTTTGGGCTATTTTGGAGGTGGTTGAATTTAAGCTGTGTGATTCATGGCACAGTGTTAGTCCTGAGAACACTAGGATTAAGGGTGTGAGTCTATCAGCCCTAAGTAGTCTGAATAAGATAAAAGGGTGAGGAAGATGCTGTTAAGGTCCTTTGTTGTGTTTACTACCTTGTGGGCACCATGAACTGTTTCCTCTTCTGGAAGGCCTGTCTGCCATGCTACTCTGCCTTGGAGCCAGTCAATTATGGACTGGAACATCTAAGCATGAAAGCCAAATAAACCTTTTCCCCTCTAACTTTGGGTGTTAGGTATTTGTCTCAGCAATGAAAGAAAAGTAACTAAGACAGAATTTGGCACCAGGAGTGGGGTTATTGCTGTGATATTACCTGGCCATGTGGCTCATTTTGGAACCTGCTTTGGAACCTGCTTTTGGGAAGGGGAAAACTTAGGAAATATTTGGAGATGCTGGCTGAAGAGGTAAAGCTGGAATGCCTTAGGCTATTTGGTATGGGAGATTCTGTTCAGAAGTCAGAAGACCAGAAAGCTGATAAAGACCAGGCCCAGGAGGTTTCTGCTGGGACAAAGTATTGCATTGGCTGCTGGACTCCAGACAATGTGTGTTATGCCTTGGCTGAAAGTTTTTCTTCATTTTGCTCATGTCCAGAGACTTTGCCTGAGACTGAGATTATGGTCAGTGGACTAATTAATCTCACAGAAGAAATGTAAAGGAGTTTAATGTTGAGACTGTGGCATGGCTGCTGTTTGGGGGCTTTTAGCCAGATCTGTGTTGAGAATCGAGCAAAAAGATTGGCAGAATGATTCAAAATGATTTTTGAGTTTGGACAAAAGGGAAGTTCCAGTAAAGCTGTGGACTGCAAAGATAGAGCAGAGGGGATCTTGATTGCTATGAAGTGACAGGAAAATAGAATAGAAAAGATGGCCTGAGGGCATGAAAAGAAGCAGCAGGACTCACCCTTTGCAGCTAAAATTGAAGAAATGAAAGACCTTGCTTTGAGAAGAGTGCCGCAGAGCACCATGTTCTAGAATGGCGGTGATGTAGAGAATTTGTTCCTTAGAACTGGATTCAGAGGGCTCAGTGATCCAGGCACTCAACCCCTACAGCCAAGAGAGAAGGAAGCCTCTGAAAGAGTACTAAAGGAAGAGTTCTAAATTTCTACTTTGGATTAGTGATATGCAGAATTTTGGAATAAGAGTAGCTTGACCTATTTTAATAAATGTTTTCAATTTTGTAAAACCAGGTTTTTGTTAAATGGGCTGAACTCATTAAGAAGAATCTTCTTTCTCTACCTTCACATGACAATTCTGGTTCCTCCTCATACCTTCTGTAGAACTTGATAGATAGTGAAGAGCAATCTCATTTTTATGTATCAAAAAGTTTAGTCCAGTTTGTCATCTTCAAAATAAGATTATGTAAGAAGTCAAATAAAATTACAGTAACAACAAATAAATGCCACAAGAAAAAATGTACAAGATCTCATTGAAATAGCCTTGGATTTAAGCTAGAGCTATATAGTGAAATCGTGTCTCAAAAACACTAAACAAACAAAAAAGATCCAAGTGAAGAAAACTACTACTAAAGAACTCTAAAAACAAGACTTAAAATGTTAGTACTTATCATATTCTTGGGTGTGAAAAATAGATGTCAATATGTAAGTTCTCACTGTGTTCATCTATAAATTTAATTCAATCCCAGGAAAAACACCAATGGGCTTTCTAAGGTACAAGTCAAACTGAATTGTAGAAAAATCTGCAAACCAGAAAAAAAATATGGAAACTGTAAAAGAAAAGCATTGAGGGAATGGTATCCACTCTATTGCACATTAAAATACATAATAAAATACCTATAGGCAAAAGTTTGTTTCTAGTGCACTGATAGACATGGTAGAAAAGAAAGTTCAGAAATAGGACTAGATTCATGTGAGAACTTGGTACATGATATAATATTCCAGTTTAATGAAAAAATGATCTTAGGAAATTCAAGTAGCCATCTGGAGAAGAGAATGTACCTATAAACATCAATTTGGAATAGGTCAAAATTATAAATAGAAACTAAAACTGTTAGATGAAAACATGGGATAATTTCCTTATTTACTTGGAGTAGAGAGGATTACCATTCTGTCTTGAAGTTCCAGAATCTGAAAAGTGTACTCATATGAAGTTCAAAAACAAAAATGGTATGAGGATGGAACTCAGTGACAGAATCAGAGTTTAGTATTATGAGGCCCTGGTTTCAGAATTTAGAATAAAAAAAAAAGCAAAGTTAAAAAGTTTTCATTTAAAATAAAAATGTTAAAAGAATAAATATGTTTTGGGCCTAGATATCCCCCTGAAGCCTCATGTGGTCATAGTTGGGTAAATCTAGAGTGTGTGATGCTAGGCTTAAGAGTATGATTATTAACCCACTACACATGAGTGATTGGTTTGGCACTGCCCCAATCCCAGTAGTCTGAATAAGCTAAAAGGAGCAGGAAGTCACCGTTAAGGTCCCTTGTTACTTTTACTGCTTTTGACACCATGAACTGTTGTCCCTCTGCCAGCCTGCCTTGGAGCCAACCGATTATGGACTGAAACCTCTGTGAACTGTAAGCCAAATAAAACTTTTTCCATTTAACTTTGGGTGTCAGGTATTTGTCTCAGCAATGGGAGAAAAGTAACTAACAACACATATTGGACAAATATTAGTAACTCATATCTCATATAAATTGCTCATTTCTACAGAGAAAATTACACAGAATCCATAGAAAAATATGCAAAGCAACAAAAGTAGTTAACAAAAAATGCAACTATTTAACAACATGCTCAACTACACACAAGTTAAATAGTTAAAATTGCATTGAAAGAAATGGCTTTCACACCGGAGTGAAATAGATTTCCACAGGCCCCTTTTCTCAATACACAAAACTGGATACATTATAAAAATTATTTTAGGCCCTGGGGATGCAGCTCAGAGATAGAATGCAAGCTTAGAATGTGTGAGACCCTAGGTTCAATCCACAGCACCAAAAACAAACAAAAAAACACTTTAAAGATATTAGAAAGCTGTGGACATAAGGAATATTTGAGCTAAAATACAGATCATTTCAAGTAACTTGGTAATTGCCAACCCTTTGTTTCTTGAGGACAAGTTGTGGTTCAGCATTGGTCCAGGAAATTAGTTTGTGTTTGGAGACAGAGAAATCAATAGACTTTAGTTACATTGTGCTATAGTGACAAGTAGAAATATTGAGGAATCTTAGATTCAAAGAATTTTAACCTTTACATAATTTCATAGCTCTTTGGCTACACCAGAAATGTGAGAACCATCCCCAAAACTTATACAAAGCAAATTGCTATCTTTAAAATGTATGGTGCTACCGCAGAGGAGCGCTACTTAAAACACATGGCTAATTTCTTCTTCAAGACATTTGCCAAATTTCAAAATAAAGTAGGCTAAAGAGCTACGCTGAAAACTTCTGAAGCTATGGTAAGTACTAGCTGAGGAGATATATATCCACTAGGATCTAAGAACTGGATCATACCAAAGGTAGTATTGCTAATGTTGCAGTATATCCCTTGTCAGTGACAGCTTCTGATTGAATTGAATTGATTAAAAACTCATTGCCTAATGAAGTAAAAGAAATCCTGTCTAGTGGAAGATAAAATAACTTAGAACATTTATGATTCTTAAATATACACTAACTGGCACACAATAAAATGATTTCTAGATATGCAATGAAGAGAGACATAGGAAGAAGGAAAGATGCAGATCCATAGATATGGCAGATATAGAAGTTAGTCAATAACAATAAGTTAAATAATATATTCAAAATAGAGGAAACGGACAAAAGATGAAAGATGCAAAACAATTAGAAACAATATCCAAATAGAAAATGTACAGCTGAAAAATACATCGGAAATTACTCAACAGATGAATTTAACAACAAATGGGACATAGCAGAATGCGAAGGTAGTCAACTGAGATGTGATCAATATATGCAAATTGAAGGAGAGAGGAAAAATAGAAAAAAATACTGCCATATATGGACATGTGACACACTCAAATGCTTTAACCTTCATGTGTTTGAAATCCAAATGAAAATGAGAATGAGACAAAACATTTTCTTATGAATGACTAATTTCTCATGAAGGGAGGGCAGGAATAAGGGGAAAAAATGAGAACCAAGAGCTGTCATGTAAAGGTACAAGATCCCAATAATGAATGTAACTGTATTGTATACCTAAAATGTACCAATAAACTCAATGAGAAAAAAAAGACAAAAGCAGTAAAGAGGTAATAGCTAAAAATTTGCTCAAAATGAAGAACCATAACCTAGATATTTAAATTTACAAAGTCCCAAGTTGAAAAAAATAGAAGTAGATAACTACATTTACACCCATATTAGATAAATAGCTGATAAGTAGACAAAGTCATTGGGAATAAAGTGGATGTGGAGGCATACACCTGGCATTCTGAAAGGATTGCAAGTTAAAGCACAGACTGGGCAACTTGATGATTTAGCAAGACCCTGTCTCAAAAAAAATTTAACAAAATAAACATTAAAGGACTGGGAATGTTGCTCAAAGCAGAGGTCCTGGATTTAATTCCCAGTACCACATACACATACCTACACAAAGTCATATTAAAAATATTTAGAGAAGAAGGACACATTACCTTCAAAGGAGCAACAACGTAACTGACAGCTGATGTTTTAACTAGAGTGCTTGTTTCATCAGTACATATGCTAAATGTAAATGATACGGAGATTAGCATGGCCCCTGCAAAGGATGACATGCAAATTCATTAGCCTTTCCATATTTTTACCAGAAAAAAAACTCCCAAATCATGTTATAGTTAAAAGAGTACAGAACAAGGAAAAATATTGATAGATGCAAGAGTTAAACACCAAGTGACTTACAGTGGGAAGCATCAGTACAGCTGTACACTGCTTAGCAGAAACTCTAAAGGCCCGCAGGGCATAGAATGATGTATTTCAAGCCCTGACAAAATACCTGCCAACCTATGTTACTATATCCAGGAAGCTATCAGAATCAAAGGAGAAATAAATACCTCAACATAAGCATAAATGAAAGGAATTCATGACCAGTAAGCCAGCATGGCAGCGAATATATGAAGGAATTCTACACACAGAACAAAAGTAGATAAATGAAAATTAGGAAAGAATATTAGGAAAACCACAAAATGATCAGAATTAGTTCATGTATTTCTATAATAACTGTAAATTCTCTGAATTCTCCATTTAAGAGACACAGACTGACAGATTGGCTTGAAAAACAAGAGCCAACTCCTTGTTTCCTATAAGAAGCGTACTTCACCAGCAGAGACATGCACAATGTATTCCACGCAAATGGAATCTGAAAGCAAGTAGGAATAGCTATCTTTATATCTGACAGCACATGGCAAAATTAGAAGACAAAAAGAAGGTCATTATATTAGTAAAGGAGGTAATACACCGGAAAGATATAATTGTAAATATATGTACACTGAGCATTGGTTCATCCAATTTTATACAATGAATACTATACAACATAAAGGGACATATATGTCTCAATACCTTTATGAGTGGCTTAATACTCCACTCTCACCAGTAGGTAGAGAATTTTTGATGAAACTTCAGAGTTAAACCTCACCATACATCAAATGTATTTAAAACAAAACTACAGAACATGCCATCCAACAATTGCAGAGTACACATGCTTTTCAGCAGGTTATGGAAAATTCTCCAAAATATGTCATTTTGGGCCATAAAGCAAGTTTTACAAATACTAAGTATTGAAATAATTTCTTGCCTCTTACCAGATCTTAATGCAATGAAAGTAAAAATCAACAGCAAGAGGAACTACAAAAATTATGTACACATAGAGCTTGAAAAATTCACCTTTGATTGATCACTGGGTCATTGAAGAAATCAAAGATTTCTATAAATAGAAGATTATTAGAATCAAATCTTAATGAAGATGCAACACACCAGAATTTCCAGAACATGGTGCTGAGAGGGAAATTTATAGCTATGAGTGCCTACATCAAAAAATTAGAGATCCATCAGTTGGAGACTGGATAAAGAAGATGTGGTTTTTCTATACAATGGGATACTATTCAGCCATAAAGAATGAGAAATTAGATTCATTCATAGGAAAATGGATACATATTGAGGATATATTCCTAAGTGAAATAAATAAGTCATACATGTGTAAATACCGAATAGTTTCTCTGGTGTGAATAAACTATAATAGTACATAAGATCCTCATGAGATAACTGTCATTGTGAAATGGGAAGAAAAGGGCTAAAGTTGTAGGGAAAGTGGGAAGGGTGGGGGAAAGGTAATAAGGGAAAAATATTAGAAAGTGAAAAAATACAAATAAAGTGTTTATAAATGGGGAAGGGAGGAAGGGTGAAGGGAGGGCAGGGGTATGGGGAAAAAATGAGAACCAAGACCTGTCATGTAAAGGTACAAAATCCCAATGATGAATGTAAAACTACTGTATACCTAAAATGTACCAATAAACTCAATGAGAAAAAAATTAGAGATCTCTCAAACTAATGATTTATCTCAATGGAATGGGTCCCTCATGGGTTTAATTACTCTCGTCTAACCATGTATATCATAAAGAATACTTCGTAGAGAACAGCCAGGGTTCGAATCTGAGATCTAACATGTAAAACTAGGAACATTAGGCCTTCGTTTTACCAGGATATCAAAGGAGCTGGAGATAACTGAGCTTCCAGATGTCAGATTAGCTGATTAAGACAATTCAAATGAAAATAACGTTTGCACATTTATTTACAGAGGAGCTGCCAGCTCCCTCAGGTTGCATTTTCTCCCATGGAACAGTGTATGGATGGAGGATCAGGCAGTTCAGCACAGAACAGAGATGGTTTTATTTTGTTTTTTGAGACAGGGTCTTGCTATGTAGTCCAAAGTGGCCTTGAACTCACTTAAGTAGTCAAGGCAGGCCTCAAACTCAACAGCGATCCTCCTGTCTCAGCCTCCTAAGTGCTGGGATTATAGGCATGCACCACCACACTTGGCAGAATTGGGAGGGTAGTCTCAATAATGAGGGAGTTCCAAACAAAACTGGCTTTATGAACCAATAGGCCAGGGGTAGGATGAGGATAAGAGAGGAGTGAAAATGTCTTGAATCAGAGAGGATCAGAAACTCTTCAGGGTTCTTGTCTTCTCCTCTTATTAAAGAAAAAAAGTCTCCAGTGAAGGCCCCAGATAAACGCAGTTGGATTGTTATCTGCAGTTCTTGAAATGTATTGGCTGTGTACACTGTGGGGAGGGAAGTTTTCCTTTCCTCATTGGGGCCTACCCGGTAAAGCCTTTGTAATATACTCTGTGGTTGGGCCTGAAAAGTCACACATAGCTTTTTGGCTAAGAGCAGGGTCTCAATTTTCTCAACTATAAAATGGACTTCATAAATGAGAAAAAGCACATAGCAGGTTTAGGAAAATATCTGGCACATAATGTTCTCTCAGTAAGCATTTGTAGTACAGTTATTACTATCCCTGAGCTAAACTTTTATTAGTATTATAAGCAATTCCTACAAATAATTATGATAAAGATTTTAATATCTGACCTTCAGATACTACTAGTAAAAATAAAACAGGCAATATTCCTTTTTATAGAAAAACCACATCTCAGCCATAAAGAATGAGAAAATAGATTCATTCATAGGAAAATGGATACATATTGAGGATATACTCCTAAGTGAAATAAGTCACACATGTGTAAATACCGAATAGTTTCTCTGGTGTGAATAAACTGTAATAATACATAAGATCCTAATAAGATTACTGACATTGTGAAATGGGAACAAAGGAGCTAAAAGTGTAGGGAAGGTGGGATGGGTAGGAGGAAGGGTAATAAGGGAAAAGAAAAAAATGTGAGATAATGAAAAGATGGAAATAAAGGGTAGATGGGGAGGGGAGGAGGGGGTGAAGGGAGGGCAGGAACAAGGGGAAAAAGTGAGAACCAAGACCTGTCATGTAGAGGTACAAGATCTCAACAATGAATGTAACTGTACTGTATCCTAAAATGTACCAATAAACTCAATTAAAGCTAGCTGAAAAAAAAAACAGGCAAAACTTTTCTAGAAGGCTATTTTGCAATATATATTAAGGACCTTAGCTATTCAAACTCCTTGAGCAAATGCGCTGCTAGAAATGTATTCTAAGGATACAGTCCAGGATGTGGAAAAAAAATACATGCTCAGAGAGGATTACTGAATTATCTCAAGCCATACAAAATGAAAGGGTCGGACTGTTAGAAAAATGGTATTAGAATTTGTTTCATTACTATGATGGAATATTGTGTAGTTCTTAAAAATAATGTTCACCGGTACACAAGCAATTCATCAACATAACATTTTTCACGTATAAGGTTGGCACAAATCCTAATGTTCCTTGACAGTATGTGGGGAAAGTGGCACTGTCATACATTATGGGTAGGAGTTTAATTGGTTATATCTGTTAGGCAGGCAATTTGGCCATATCTACACCGAATTTTAAATGCATATACCTTTTTTCAAAGAAATTATACTTCTGGGAATTTATCCTTAAAATGTATTTGCAAACATATGTATGTGTCTGTATAATTATGTGTTTACACAATACAGTTCTTTTGCCATTTTTTGCACTGGCAAAAAATGAAAATAAAGGAAATAGTTAAATAAATTGCAGATATTCAAACTATTATATGTACTTGTAAAAATGGAGGATGCTCTTTATACACAGAAAATTTCATTGTATATGGTTAAATCAGTAAGGCAAGGCACAGAATAATGTATGGTCTGGTACCTTTTATGTGTGAAAGTGAAAAATGTGACTATACTTTCCTATCTGCTTGTATTTGCTTATATTTGGAGATATGCATAAGAAACTTTAGTAGGCTAAATATCGGCCCCCAAAGATACATCCATTTCCTTATATGGAGAATCTGTAAACATTAACATGTATGACAAATGATGTGATTAAATTTAGTAGATTATCCTGGATTATAGGAGTAGGCTCTAAATGCCATCATAAATATCTTTATAAGAGAGAGGCAGAAAGAGATTACACATACAGAAATGGAGAAAGCAGTGTGACCATACAGTCAGAGAATGGAGTAATGCACCTAATAGTCCCATCACTATGAGAAGCCAAGGCAGGAGGATCACAAGTTCAAGCCCATCCTGGGGAAATTTATTGACTTAGTGAGGCCTTGTCTTAAAAAAAGGAATGCTGGCAGCCACCAAAAGCTGGAAGAGGCAAGAAATAGAATCTTACTTAGAGCCTCTTGAACAAACTCAGTGATACTGAGTTCAGATCTCTGGGCTCCTGAAAAAAAATTTTTTTAAGACAGGCTCTCGCTATGTAATTCAGGCTGGCCTTGAACTCACTATGTAGCCCACACTGGCTTCGAACTGGGCGCAATTTTCTTAGCCTCCCAAGTGCTGGCGTTACAGATGTGTGCCACCTGCCTCCTGATTTTGAGAGAATAAATTTCTATTGTTTTAAGCATCACATTAATTTGATGCAGAAGCCATAGGAAACTAATACAGAAACTAATATGAATAATCGCCTCTTAGGGAGAATTAGGGTTATTTTAAATACAGAGATGGGAATCAAACGTTTTATATTGTTGATTTCCTGAACAAGATTAATGTATTTATGTTTTAACATTTAAAATGTTAAAAATTCTTCTCTCAGCTAGGTCCACAGCTCGGGAGGCTGAGGCAGGAGGACTGCTACAAGTGTGAAGTCAGCCCAAACTACCTAGTGAGACCCTATCTCAGAAAACAAAAGTTAGATCTCTC